TAAGAGATAATTTAATTTATTATTTTTATTATACAAATTGTATAACTAAAATTTAATATAATAGTTAGACTATATAAAAGTAGTATTAGTAAAAGTAGAAGTGGCATTAGCAGATCTCTAAATATATTTATTATTTTAAAAAATAACTAATTAATATATTAATTATATATAACTTCTTTAGCGAAGTTACAGGTTATAAGCTAGTTATATATATTATATAGTTTATATATAAAGGCATACTCCAGATATAATATGAAAAACATGTCTTAGGCTAAAGTATACCTTTTTAAACATGTTCAAAAAATTTTTTGTACCTCAACCCTATATATTGCAGAATGTATAAATATAATCTATAGCTTAATAACTTTATAAAAGCAAATATTTCACCACTTACAATCTCTTATATAGACTAATAAGATTATTTAATCTAACTTAACAAGAGTTTAGATCAAAAATAAAGTAGCTTTAGCCTCTAATTTTCTGTAAATTAGAAAACATAACATATTGTAATAATATTTGTAATATCCTATGAATTCTAATAAAGAAACAGAGACACAACCTTGCTTTTTTTTTTAAAAAAAAAAAATTTTAAAATTGTTCAAAATCAAATTCTGTTTATCCATCTTATAAATGGAAAGAACAATAACTTTTCTGGAACTCTGAATTTCAAAATTTGTTAATGTTATAACCTGTTTACAAAATTTGAAATTCCGAGTTCCAGAGAAGGTATTATTCTTTCCATTTATAAGATTGGTGAACAGAATTTAATTCTAAACAACTAATTAAAAGCTCAAAAATAAAAAATCATCTCAATATTTAGAAAATTGACTACAAATAATCGTGACCGTTTGTAACCGAACCCATCCCTAGGTCTGACTGTATAGTAAAATAGTACGGTATGGTAGGACAGACGTGTCGAAATCAAGATAATACGTACGATTTGCAAAAGAAAAAAGATCGTAAACCCATATTACTTTTACTAACCCCAACATGAAACCAAACAATACTAACCTAACCGTTACTTATAAAAATTGAATTTTGCAAGTCTATATTAACTGTACGTACTTCATCAAATCGGTAAATCAAACCATAGTTAGGGTCGCATATGATAAATTTTTTTTATGAAAACCCGAAATTACCGCGGATTATTGCGGATACTAGTAACTTTCGGTACAGTTTTCTCTCGAACTGGTATAAAATTACTAATTTAGTTTTTTATAAAAGATAGTGCACTTCGTAAAGTTTAATGAAATAGAGCCATTTTTTGAATTTTTCTATTTTATGACTAGTAAATTCTTTAACAATATCAATAAGCTTTAATGAATATAAAGCTATTGAAATATGTAAAACTGGCGTTATTGTTGAAAAGAGCTTTATAAAAGCTATTAATTAAAAAAAATTTGATATAACAAACTTATATTTTTCGCTCAAAAAGCGTACGTACCTACTAAATACCCTACGATAAATGTTTATATTCTAAGGGTGTCCGCAGAAATGAACCTTCTGCGGGGGTGATCATAAATTAGCCAATCGATAAAATAGCTGTATCTCGTGATCCATTGGGCTGACTCTACCACCGTTAGAATCAGAAATACTGTACGTACGTACATTAAAAAATTTAATAAAGTTTGCTAGTAAATTTTTTTTTTTTAATATCAAATATAAAAATGTTTGGCACCTGCATATCCTCCATTCTTAAACTGTTGTACAAATAATTTATTGCAGGGTGCAAAATGTAGATATATATTTATTTATATATTTTTTGTTATATTTAGATTTAATTTCCTTAATTAGTCTCGAAGCGTATAAGCCCCTCGCATATATTTGACATTCATATGAAAGTCCGATGATTCGCAAATCACAAACATATAAAAGTTTCCTCCTCTAAATTGCTTGCATTGCAAACAACCTTTCTCAAAGCCACATTAAAAATTTTTACATGACAATGGCCTCTGAGAATTATTTTTCGGAATGGGAACAAATATGTTTAGAATTTTTTAGCAATAACGATAAAGATGCTGAAGCAGTAGTTGGGCTTGTAGAATTTGCAACATGTTCTAATAGAGAAGTCACCGTCAACATCGATTCTATCGATAAAAATTTGAGAAAGGAAAAAATTGAAGAATTACTAGCAAAAATTGGCTTTGATAATGGAGTAATGCTTCATCCTCAAGAGTTTGATAAATATCTTGAAACTAAACGAAAAGTTCGATCCGAATTTCACCGAAAGAAAGCCATCGAACTTTTCAAAGAATTAGATAAACTGTTACATTCAAAACCTGCTAAATACACACCACTTCACCGGCTTTCAGAACTTGAAACTTATCTTACACAATATAAGACGTCAGTTGGAGCTCTTCCGTTTATAAAGGGATTATTGCATGTTTTTAAACTTCAATTGCACCAATCTACACTTGCTTCATGGACATTTTTAGATAATACTTTAACCCAAAACGGGATCGACTTTATGAGGGCTACAGTTAATTTGTTAGTCAATGTATTAGGGTTTGTGCATACGGTTCAAGAAGCCGACGAAAGTGGGGAACAAGGTAGTCTTCGTACGTGGTATATTGATAATACATTAAGTGATTCCGAAATTTTAACACTTATCAAGAAATTCCCAAAAGAAACATACCTTAGTAACGTTAGAGCAACAGGCTTAATAGAGCTATCTTCTCAACAACGTTCCCCAAATTTAATTAAAACTTCAAAAGGAAACATTGTTGGAAATTTTTTTTTGTTTTGGTGGAATCTGTTAAGATGGTTGTTTAGTTTTTGTTTCGGATTGGTTAAATCTAGAAAAGTTAGGGACGAAACATTACCAGATATTTAATGCATTTTCGTATTTTTAACATAATATGAACCTTAATATGATTCTTCAAATACTTAAGCTGTTAGATTTTTAATTTAAAATTAAATAGTCTTATTTTCTAATTATATTTTATATATCGTAATTTCTTAATTCAAAAATATCCAATTTTATACTCAAAATTATTTGAATCCTGTATTGTATTTGCTCACAGCATTGGCTTTAAATAAATAAACAAAATCGTTTTTAGCGTTAAAAATTTCATTTAGCTGAAATTTTTTTCCAAAAAAAGGAATTCATCAAGTGGTGAATACCGACATTCTGGTCGGGTCCAAATTACTGTAATCACGAGACCACAGAATGAAATATCAATATACTGATATATAAGAATCTTCGTCATCGTACGTTTTTCGACAGTCTAACGTGGGGTCTGCAGAATGTCGTTTCCATCTTGGCTTATCGACGATGCCAGCTGCGGAACATCAAATCCTGTTTCGGGTCTGATGAAGCAGCTTGTGCAAGACAATTCTTCGCAACGAGTAAATGTCATTTGTGTCGGCATGGATAATTCATTCTAAATTTTTTACTTATAAACTTTCTTGGTCGTGTAGGATAGATTTAATTCTGATCAACTGAATGAAGGCACTTCTAGAAAGGTATAACGCATTATTAAAAATTTCGTGTTAATTATTTTCAAGTATATAACCTTATATCAACTTTAGACTTTTAGGACACATGTGAACGTGGAGGCACATAAGCATGAGGTATACAATAATAATTTTAATGAAATTTCTATGCACTTGTTGGATTAAATTATAGCTTTTAAATATTATATTAGTACGAAAAGTTTTTCATTCAACCGGGTCGCGAACCTGACGTTTACGATTTAGATCAGATGGGCAAGGAACTTCAAACAATTATACATGATACACAAGACAACGAAAATTGGGTTCACAATTTTCTAAATCAACCTAATTTGATAAATGATGATCCTTTAAGTCATAATGTAGCTTTTGAAAAGATTTTTAATGATGCTAATGTTCAAGGTACGTAAGAAGTTGAAATCTTAACTTCTGTAATTCACAGATATTTAATTACTTTTGTATAGATGAATGGACCAATATGTATCTATCTACAAATCAAAATCCTAGCAGGTTACCTCCGGAAGAATATGCTGCATTTGAGAGTGCTTTCCATGATGCCAATAAAAGTGAGAATCTTCTTTTCCTTAAAGTTCGTTGATGTGCTTATTAACTTATATCATCTTTTGAAATAGACGTGGATTGGGAATCTGAATTCAATGCTATAGAAAAGGCTAATTTGATTTCTCAAGATAAATTATGGACAAATGAATTTCAGCAACAAAATGCTTCTCAAGATAAATCATGGGCAAATGAATTTCAGCAACAAAATGATGATGAATCAAATAAAAGTAATGCAAAAGAAGCATTAGCAAATTGCGCTGGAAAATTAATCGAATCGATACAAGACGAAACAGATCCAAAATTTAAGAATTCGTCCTTTATAAAATTTATGAAGCAATTGCGTGATAATGAAGTTTGTATAGAAGGAAATAAAGTTGTTGAACAAAAATCACCCGTATCCAACGGCGACTGGGCATCCGAATTTAGTACAAATACTTCTGAAGGAGATGTTAAAGATTTGGGAGAACTGCAAAGAGATTATGATAGATTACATTACGGATAAAATATAATTTTTTATTTTAATAAATTTGGTTTAATTCATGAGAAATTATAGGCATCTCCCCTGGGAGATATGGGTCCATCCATTTACCCAGCAGCACGTGATAATTGATCGATCAATCAGTTGAGAAAATTTGATCATACATATTGGATAAGCAAAAAATATAAGAAACAACAGTCTAGACCTATTTCGGTGCATTAATAAAAAGTGTCGAGAAGACAATTAATTTGAGCATTCTAACCCTACTTTTTTTTTAAAAAAAACTGTCAAAACCACGTGCTGTTGGGTATCACAAAATCATTTAGTTTATTTATGCTACGTACTATGATAGCGCTTACCTTTTTCTTACAACTTGTGAAAAAAAATTATTATTATTTTTTTTTGGTTTATTCGATTATCCAATTTTCAAATATAGCATTACCGAAATAACATTAAAGGACCACTTTTAAATATAACATTTTCACCATTAGTTTTCAAATATACCATTTTTGCAAAAAATTATCTTTTTAGCCCAAATTTCAATCTAACCTCTATATGTATTATTCGGATGTTGAGTCGATTCGAGTTTAACACCTTAGTAACTATACGTAGATGACAAATTAATTTTACTGTTACATACCGATACAATATCGATATATAATAAATACAATCATGCTATGTATCATACGTACGACATATCATATCGATATTACATGATTCTAAATTCTTACGTAGCACTACGTAACTTATATGCGTATATAGAATATTTCAGATATAGTGACTTATATAGTGACTTATATATAACAATATAAAAAGTTACGTCAACATTTTTTAGCGCCATAACTACTTAAAAATTTCCACAAATATCAATATAGAAATACGTAGTCACTTATTTGGTACACTCGTCCGAATTTATTTTAAATAAATAATAATTAGCAAATATATAACATTTATTACAAATCATATGTGGAAAACTATTAATTTAAGTTTGAATCATATGACAGATATACGTATAACCACTTTTTTAAATAAAAGTTTGCCGTAATAGAGACATGCCATGTGATCGAAGATTTTAAATGTTATTTCGCCACGAATTTTTAATCTTTACGCTGGGGCAGGCTTGGCATTCCAAATTTTGTTGGCGTATTCTATAATGGAACGATCACTAATAACGTTGAATAATAATAAACATGATTAACAAATAGTGAATTATCAAAAGTATAATTTGAGTGCGACCAAGGGAAAACCTGTAGATACAAATTTAAATTTTCACTGTGTCGGACTTATATTACATAAAAGAAACCATAATTCCAATGTGTACAAGCTGTAATACATGTTACAAGAAACTTAAGCCCGGTCAATGAAAATTCAAATATTGCAGATTTTCCCTTGGCGGCACAATGATTTGCTTATATTATACGTACGCTGAGAATTTACCCATTCGGGCAGTGCATAAAATACTCTTTCTTATCCAATCATCTTGATCTTTATACGCTTCATCGACTAAGCTCTGTGCATTAAGATATGATCCAAAGTCATCTGAGATTAAATAGTAATCTTTGCCGACAGTTAAAGTATTAATTAGAGGTGCAAATATGCGTGAATCGCCATATTGACCGGATTCGATATCCTTAACGACTTCTTGTAGTGCAGGATCCATTGGTACATTGCGATACCTATTATATACGGTTAGTATATATGAGGCAATAACAAATTTATAAAGTATAACAATGATAATAATTACCTATGAGCATGCCTCAAATCTTCAACTTGATCAGCCAAATTTCCAAACATGAATATATTATCATCACCAATTTCTTCATGAATCTCAATATTTGCACCATCTACAGTCCCGAGAATTAAGCCGCCATTTAAGACGAATTTCATATTACTAGTACCAGAAGCTTCAGTGCCAGCTGTTGAAATATGTTGTGAAATATCTGACGCTGGAATAATAACTTCGGCAACAGATACATTATAATCAGGAATGAAAACAACCTAATTGACGTGGGAAGATTAATGTCAATAATGTCAATAACTTGTAATAAAATAATAAATATTTATCATTTATCAACCTTTAAGAGATTATCGATAGAATTGTCATTATTAATGACATCTGCAACACTATTTATTAGTTTGATAACCAATTTAGCAATATAATAGCCTATAAGAAAAATATATGTGCATGCATTAGAAATCTCTTTTTTTTTTTTTTTTTTTGAAACTTTATTTAGTTGGATTGATTAATTCACCTGGAGCTGCTTTTCCGCCAAAGATGACAGCACGTTTAACAACTTCTGACTTTTCTTTTGCAGACATTTTCTTCAAACAGTTATACCGATGAATGACACTAAAAGCAGTATTAAAGTTTGCAACAATTGCTATAAAATTACTTAAAGACGATTTTAACATTAAAGGAATTAAACAAACCCTAAAATATTCATGAATTGTCTTTTGTATTCATGAATTCTTTTCACTTGAATATCAAACATGGCATCAGGACTAACTATGATCCCAGTCTGCGTCTCGATGTGTTTAGCTAATCGAACCTGAAATAAGAAAAAGAATTAATAAAATGCAATATGAATTAATATTGTAAGATATTTGGACATAATAATTTACAAACCTTGTTAAAATGTTTAATCTCAGCCCATCGTTTCTTGAATTCTTTGTCATCGACAAACGACTCAAGTTTTTTCAATGAACTTAAATTCTATAACAAAAAAAAACTGCATAAGCAAATTGCAAATTGACATATTGACATATTAACATACAAATATTATGCAATACTTTTAGCCAGTCTTTGTTGCCTAAAACTTCTGTAATCAAATCACCTAGTTTTGGGTTAGCTTGATGTAACCATCTAGTAAATACAATACAGTAAGAGAATGATCGATAAAAAATAAAATAAAATAAAAATAAAAATAAAAAAATTCAAGTTTAAAGTACCTTCGTGGAGTGATTCCATTGGTTACATTATCGAACTTTTCAGAGCCATAATATTTAACGAAATCTTTGAAAATCTGTCGTATAAAACCAAATAAAAATTTAGCAATAATAATAATAGTAATATTAATACAATCTAGTAAAGATCTTCCAATGGTAAATAAATAAATCAAGAATTGTATTTACAGTTGTTTTGATCAAGTTTGAATGTAATTCAGCAACACCATTAACTCGATGTGAGCCTATTAAGTATTTTAGCAATTATTTTCATGTATATTATCATTAAACAGAAAGCCATTAATCAAAACATACCAACTATGGCAAGATGAGCCATTCTAAACATAAGGGTTAATTAATCAATTAATTCATATAATTTTTGAATTGTCAATTAGAAGAAATACCAACCTTACGAACTGTGGCGTCGATTCTTCAATTATAGATAATTTGGCCAGAAGGTCCCTATCATCTGGAAATTTTTTTTCAACGTCTTGCAAGAAAAACTATAAAGCAAGGAATTATAATTTAAATTGTATATTTCTTGATGGTTTTCACTTCAAAAATAAAATAAAAATAAAATAAAATAAAAATTAAAAAAGATATAGAAGCACAGCTAACCAGATTGATATCGAAAATAATTTGCATATGTCTTGGTAGTAAATATGCGACCATTGGTACAGGCCATTTTTCCATGGCTTCTGGAAGGATAGTGTGATTTGTGAATGCAAACGTACGGCGAACGATATCCCAAGCCTCATCCCAGTCAAGACACTACAGGTGCAAAGAGATTAGGTCTTAAACTATATAACTAAATAAAATGACTGGGATACTTGCCTCGATATCAACTAAGATCCTTTGTAATTCAACAATGGCAAGAGTTGGATGTGTATCTATATAAAACCTTGGTTTAATATGTATGAAAGATGCTTAGCTAAAGCAAACATTAAAGCAAATTTTAACATACCGTTCAATTGAATAGCAACCTTCAATAAATAAAAATATAAAAAAATATATATGTTTAAAAAAGAGAAATTACAAAAAAATAAAAATAAAATAAGATAAAGTAAAAATAATAAATGATAAAAATAATAAAATAAATAAAATATTATAAGTAATCAAAAAAAATTAAAATCAAAAAAAATAATAATAATCATAATATTATAATCAAAAAATAAAATAAAATAGAAAAAAATATACATATTATTAAAATAAAAAAAATATATTTATTATTGAAAAATAAAAGTATATATTATATTGAAAATAAAAAATATATGTTTAGAATGGAAAATATACATGTAAAAATAGAAATATATATATTAAAATTGAATATATATATATATTAAAAAGAAATAAAAAAATACATATATTATTAGAAATAAAAATAAATTAAATCAAATTAGAGCATATATTCATAAATTTTTATTATTACCTGATCAGGAAATTTACTCCACGGTTTTCCAGATTTAGTGAAACGACGAACACTTATGTGATTGAATTAAAGTCATATTATTATAATACGATATTTTTCATAGATAAAAATAAATTGTCAAATGCATACATATCGTGTAGACTAGCAGCAACCCAGAAGTATTGTTGTTTGAGACGTAATTCTTTACCAACCATATGGTTGTCATTTGGATATAGGACAGCAGTAATATTTTCAGCCTGCATTTGTTCTTGAACGGCCTGTTCGTATTGGCCTTCGTTAAATCGGTGAAGATCAAACTGACGCTTTGGCTTACTACTCCATAAACGGATATTAATGCAGTTTTTGGTGCCATATCCTATATGATATTGTAGACATTGTAAATTATAAGATAAAAGCGGTAAATTGAGGATTGCAATAAAAATTGCAATCAATAAATAAAAAACCAACCAGGAATAGGAACGTCGTAAGCAACAGCTTTTATTATATCAGAGCCTTCCCAAACATGTCGCACTCGACCTTCTTCATCAGTATATTTGTTGACAGAACCACCGAATTGGACATCAACAACGACATCAAGACGAGGCAACTCCCAAGGATTATCGAAATTCAGCCAATAATCAGGAAATTCTACTTGATAACCATCTTTTAATCTGACAATCGAAGGTAAATTTAGAACAATTATTAATTTAATAATTCGTAATAAGAAATAAAGTTTAATACCTTTGCTGAAAGATACCATAAGTATATCTGAGGCCATATCCCCATGCAGGATAGTCTAATGTAGCCAGAGAATCCATATAACAAGCGGCAAGACGACCAAGACCTCCGTTACCAAGAGCAGCATCAACTTCTTGATCAAGGACATCCTCCATTCTGAAACCCAAATCCTTGACACCCTCTATTAGAGAAAAGTCACATACCAAGAGTTATATTAAAGAATAATAAAACAAATTTAAATAACGGAAACAAATTAGTAAATACCTCCAAAACTTTCCTTCAGCCCCAAATTGAGAAGGGCGTTATCTAATGATCTACCCAATAAAAATTCCAAAGATAGATAATAAACACGCTTTGGGTCGCTTTCAGTGTGACTCTAAAAAAAAAAAAACATGTAGAAAACCCTTTCGTTAGTCATATTTTAAACAAAGATAGATAATCCTGAAAAAATATCTAATCTATATTGAAAGTTTCAAGGAAGCAAAATATTCTTGTAACAATAAAATACACGGAAAAGAACGGACCTGCTGAGTATCATTCCATCGTTTGATCAATTGATCACGAACACTATAAACGCATTGAACATAAGTATTAGATGTATTAGACATATTAATAGATTAGCAAGATACCTTAAAATAACCTACGTGTTAGCGGTAGCTTGATATGCACTAAAGTTATCGATATTATAAACTGATCTGGCGAGAGTTGTGGTCACGTGACGAACAAACGATCTTTGAAAGCTTTCCTTGTCTGACAAATGTAAAAAATTACTCATTTCATAATGACCACACCATAAAACATAAAGCAGTGAGATTTATTACTTTAGACAAAATACAAACCATTGTTATCACCAACGGCACATTTCTCCCATAAGCCCAAAATTTTTGGATCCCAATTTTCTTGTTCACTTTTTTTTAGACCAGTAGGAGTGCGCTTATGATACCTTATCCTGGAGGGGGTAGTGGTTGACATTATGAGGATGTTTGAAAAGGACTTAAGAAAATCGAGAAAATTTAAGACTTCAAAGTCGGGAATTTTAAGGTAAAGGAGATTTTAGACGACTTATATGGAAAATTCTGCCAATCAAAATCAAATCATTGCAATGACTGCAGGGATCTAAGATGGATCAAGTTCACCTACCTCAAACGCTAATCGTACGACAATAAAGTTAAATTACATAATGGTAATGTCAGAAAAAAAAATTACATGTGAAGATTTGTCTCTATTTTCTAAATTGTCCGATTGGCAGGTTATTGTAATACATCGAACAAGAGAAAAGAGATCGTAATCATCGTAATCTTCTGGGGCTTAAAGTACTGGTGTTTCCAAAATATAAAATTCAAATAAGTTGACCTGAATTGATTTATTTAAGTCACTATATATATAGTTATCTATATACTAAACCATTCGACTAAATGCATAGTTTTGATGCGAACCGACTAAGCTAGTTAGTAAACGAATCATTACAAGAACAATACATTTTATTAAGTATATATTAGGTATATATTCAAATATATACGTACGTACTATATAAACTTACATACATTTGAATTAATTAACAAATACGTATATGATACGTACATATAATAATAAATATTTAAAATTAGTTAGGCAAAGATAAAAGACTGATTTTTTTAGTTTAGTTAAATGAAATATAATAGGTAATATGAAAGTCTTAACATGTAAATGTGGATACACCGATTTAGCGATAATACGTAACAGGTAATACATATTGTTACTAGCGATGTTACCCAAACTATTTGGGACGTCCCAAACTATGTGATGAATAGCATCATACGATTTCAGGAATAACAATAAGGAGGTAAATACTTGATGCGATATTATTCATCACATAGTTTGGGATGTCCCAAATAGTTTGGGTAACATCGCTACTTTTTACCCTTTTTCATTCTTTCTGTCTGATGACCGAATTTCAAGTCTATCCATAGTGCATTTGGTGAACTGCTTTCTAAATACCTTAGCAACAAATCGCCTAATAGACAGTGTAAAACCTTTATTACACGTGAAGACTTTGATTTCTGTATTAAGATTTACAAATATATACAATAATCGGGAATGCAAAGATCGCTATTGGGAAAAAAACACATTTACTATCGTGATCTTAAAGTTGTGACCCGAAACCCGAAACTATATGAGTGCTGTCAATAGAAAACCTGTCATCGGGTTTTCAATGTACTGTTAGCTTTCTACATACCGTCTATGGACAATCTATCATCGGATATTCAATTATATTTCGTGCCTGATATACGGTACAAAATATAATTGAATATCCGATAGTAGATTGTCCATAGACGGCATGTAGAAAGCCAACTGTACATTGAAAAACCGATGACAGGTTTTCATTGACAGTAAAATCCCGAAACCCGAAACCTTTTCCGAAACTCTATCAGTATACTGAAAGGTCTAGAAATTTAATTTTAAACTTTGAGACTTAAAGTATATGATAGTTGGATTGCATTTCAAGAATGTTTTTTGTTACTTTATAGTAAATGTCCATTAGTTTTTAACATTCTAATTTGAAGGTTTCGGAGAGGAAGGTTGTCACAACTATAAAACACAGTTCAACATTATAATTCAATTATTGGGTCTTGACAAGTTTCAGTGTTGGATAGTGTTACTTTAACGATCATGAGCCTTCTGAAGGAATCTTCTTCACAAATAGGCAATGTTAAATGCAAAAATTTGTGTGATAAAAATCATTGTAAATGTAAAAAAAGGAATTTGCCTTAGGACAGTAGTTGTCATCCTAGTAACCAACTATAAATGTAAAAATTTTAGCACCATGGAAATTTGCAATTTCCACTATGGGATATGTAGATCTTAGATTTTATATAATATTAGTCATTTTATGATGGAAATAGTAATTTCCAAATTTTATATACGCTTATGAATAAATCTTAAATTCCAAACAATATACTTAATAAAAATAATTTAGAATCTATTTAATTTTATTATAAGTTGAATTTGAATTCTTTAACAATTCAAGTACTGTTTAGAATTCTATTATAATCTGTTTATTTGAGTTCTAAATCCAAAATACTATTCTAATATACCATATACAGTATTATATTATAGAATTATTATTGTTATAGTTAATTTATATTTGTAAATATACATCATACAAATCTGTTTTTATATAACTATTGAACTACAAACTTTATATTTAATTAGCTGCCTAGCTCTTAAAATTATTCAATTTCTCTAACTATTACAAGTAACCTAAACATAAGGATGAATCAGTCCGTCCGGTCCTAATAAGACTGGTCCATTACCGTTTTTTGGTCTGGTCTCGGTTCCAAAAGCGGCCCCTAACTATCCTATTAACCCACCTAGTATCGCTTCTTAAATTTCAATCTGAGTTTAACATAAGAATAGCAGAATTACGAGGTTTACATAACAAAAATAATCGAAGTTTTATTTATTTAAATTATTTATTCAAATTATTTATTCAAATTTTAAATTCAAATTTTTTTAATACACGTATAAAGCTTTAAGCCTAAATTAATACTACCAGTAAAAGGTGTTCTTATTACGTCCACTCCAAATTTTCGGAGCTTTTTTGCTCGCTCGAAATATTTAATATCGGCTACCATTTTTTGAATAAGTGAAAGTTCGATTCAATACTTCGAAGCCATCTATTTTGTTTTGGAAGATTATTAGACTTTTCAAGAACAATTGAGTGATTAAAACATAATACTGTATTAGTAAAATACAATATACGCCAGTGAGAATTACAGAAATTTCCGGAGATACAGATAACACACCCAAAGATTCCTATAATGTTCAATTCGTGGCTCTCTATCGTTGTTAACTTTCATCATTTTTTTTTTAATTCTCTTCTCAAGCTCACAGTAACCGTTGCACCAATAGATAAATAAATGGATTTGATTTGTTTATTACGATACTTTTTATGGTGAACATGTAAATAACCGTCTCTTTTTCATAGAACTTCACGATCTCAAGTGTTATTGTACTTGCCAAAAAATCCATTGATATCATTTTTTTCTAATTCATTAAGGCGAGACCAACTTGATTTGGTGGTTTACATTTCAAAAAAGGGGGATGGAACCAGGGTTGTCACGTTTATATGTTTTTTTTCATTTTTTTTATTTTTCTATTGTAAATTTTGAATATTAAATTTTACTAATTAAATATAAAAATATTTTAAATTTATTACTTTACTAATGCTCTAACAATATATGTTTAAATAATTGCAAATTATTAATAAAAATTTTTTTTTATATAAAGACAAAAAATTGAGCTTTTGTTCTATTGTTCTATTTGCCAACAATGACCGTAACCATTGCCGAAATCCCAAACGGATATTCTATAGAATAGGTGGGCAATATAAGAAATAAGCTTCGCTAATGATTAGTAATCATTAATTTTTTGATAGCAGAGTTGCGGGGTTTGCAGAGTTTGCCCACCTATCTATAGGACATCCATAATTCTACACTGTCCTAATTTACGTTTCCATACCATACTACTTTACTATATACCTGTAATTTTACGTAATTTATGTAATTGTTGCGTAAGATTTAGTAAATTAGATTTTCATGATGTATGGCTTCTGCGATCTAATTTTCAGGTAAAAATTTAGATTATATATTCATGAAATTTGATTTACTGAAATTTAAGTAAAAATACATTTGTTACTCGATCACCTGGTTTACTAATGAAAACAACTACGAAATACACTAAATGGATCTTGCCTCGCTGCTCACGTGGCTCCAGTCGGTTCCTAGCATCGCTAAACCGGTCCTATATCTTTCTCTCTTTCTTTGATATCCGAGCTGTATAGTCGGGATATCGAAGCACTAACCTTCGATATCCAGGCTGTGCATCCAGGCTATCGACGACATCTACAACTTCAACACTAAATACTCCCACCCAGCGGTGGGTAGGTGGGTGTTAACGATGAAGCTAGACTTGTGTCAAGCTAGCAGCAAAGACAAAAGAGAGAGAACAAACTTACATTCTTCCCTTCTTAAATAATCCCATGACCTCATAATTCTATCACTTAATCGACACCCATCGCACAATACATTATACTTACAAAATTCAATCAACTATCATACTTACGTTTACATTGATACTTACCACACAATACCCCATATCCACCAATTGCTCACCTGATGTCACAGGTGTGGGTCGTGATTAGGGTGTCCAGGATTATACTACTAGCATAATTATGCTAGCAGCAGAATTTAGCATAATTTATATTTGCTAGCATAAAATTTAGCATAATTTAGCATAATTCAAGTTTGTTAGCATAATTATGCTAGCAGCAGAATTTAGCATAATTTAGCATAATTCAAGTTTGCTAGCATAATTATGCTAGCAGCAGAATTTAGCAGAATTTATATTTGCTAGCATAAAATCTAGCATAATTTGCAGATTTTGATAATAGAGTATTATTTAATACATTTCATTTTGAATTTAAAGAGATTACTGCGCTTGTTAAATTACTGTAGTTGTTAAAAATTTTTTAAAATCCTTATTTTTTATAATATATATTATATTTTCTGTTAAATATTAATTGTCTAGTATAACATCTATTATTCTATTAGACCTTTGAGTTAGCTAAAACAATAAAAGGTTAAGTTTTTTTAATCATATTTTTATAAATTTAAATAAAGAAATCTTACTAATTCTCTATTTACTTTCAATAATCAACTATTTTTGAATTTTACAAATTCATAGAATTCTAAAATGGGTTTAAAATATTCAACCAGATCATTATTGAAATATCTTTACTCAAAGTCTAAAAACACATATTGTAGATAATATTATGTTCTAATAGAAATATGATTTCTAGATTCTAGTATGATGTATTTTTGCTAATTACAGTAATTTGAAAAGTATAAATAGTAGTTCAAATTTTTTTTAAAAAAAGTAATTCAATTAGCAAGCATAATTTGGCATCATTAGCATCATAATTCTGGACACCCTAGCCGTGATCTCGTGACAAATAGATGCCTCGTGCTCTGTTCACGGCATCTCATTGTAAGATTGTAACTTTCGTAACACAACTCTACGTACGTACATACGTATAGCTGTTATACGCACACAACAATTTTTTATTGAATCTATTGTGCCGAAATAATAATTTAACCGGATCGGCCGAAAAATCATTCGGCTAATTTTTATTAGGTGTCACAGAATTTATGAAAACAGATGTTAATATGATCAATTAATCGGATTTTGGAATTGCATCATTGTCTGATATGATTTGAGTGCTGCAGAGCTACGTAAAACCTGCAATTTCGGTTTTTGCCGGCTCGCTTTTCAGAAACAGTGATCAGACTCCTGATGAATTATAATAAATTCTATAATGTATGAAGACGCTGATGATATTTCTGCCGCTACTGAGAAGCAGAATCGGAAATGAGTACTGCCAGCATTTGTGAATTTTCCGAAATCAATTTTATACGTAGAAACGACTTATCAGACACATGATCCATTAAATAGAATTTATTAGAGCCGTACGCGAATTTTTGAATTTAAACGGGTTAATATAACCGATTAATCGGATTTAACCGGATATCATATAACCAATTTATATTTCAGAAAAGTTAATAAAACCGGTCAATAAAAATAAAACCGGTTCCAACCTCTATTTGGAATTTGGGCGGCAAGTGAGACCCGCTATGGAGAATGCTTATTCCGAAGCTACACTGGTAGCTTGTATAGCTAAATAATCTCGTGCAATTAAACTTAGAATAGGGCATTCTTTCTGCGCCTGCCACCACACTAACGGATTCGAGTTGTCTTTCAAAGAAATATGAGAAATAGATGTAGCAGGGAAATTTAAAGAAGTTGACGAATATGTATGCTATTATTTCGTAATGATTGAAAGGAATTTTATGTATCAACTAAATCATTTATTGTAGTATTTATTGATAAATGTGATGACTCTAATGTGTATCCAGAAAGATTTATAATTATTTGTTTGACTTGATTTTTTTCTATTTCACTACTCGGGTCAAGTAAGGATGAGATTTGTAATGGACTTGGCCAATAATCATTTAATTTTGATTGCCATTGAAGATTGTGTAAATTCTTCATATTTAAATATCAGTAAATGTTTTATACAACTTCACACTTCAACTCTAACTTTCTCTTCACGTTTACCTTAACGCCTCTACATAATAATGTTCTCATCTTTTATACATACAAGATTTCTCTATGTTACTTATTAGAAAAGTCCGAAGTAGAAGTTTGATCTTAAGAAAAACAAAACGAACAGCTCCATGAGTGGGGTATCGTGATGCTGAAAGGTAGCGGGTAGCACGTTCAAATGGTTCCAGAAGAAGCACCGAATCATTAATTTTGACACAATCTTCTTTAGTTGATCAACAACTTTGTTATTAACAGAAAGCAGCCTTAAAACAGGATCTAGTTTTTTTCCATTTTTATAGCATGTAATAGACGGAATTCCATCTCGTCTTTACATCCAATTCGGGCGCCAAATATTTAAGATTTTGTTGCTTTACATAAACGGTTTATTTAAAGCATCATTTGCATTTGTAAGAGAGTGGATTTGAGAAAATTCATTTGAGACCTTATTTTTCGATTGATGTGTCGCTAATTTGATCCCATTCATACATAACAGCTAAATTTAATATATGTGCAAAACAACGATAATGTGCGTTGTTCAATTCTTTTTCCAATTCCGCTATTATTCATGCATTGTCATCGTTAGTGCTAGGACCTTGGTAGTTAAGTCAATTCATTAAGAACTGGCATAATGGCATCAGTCATATTAGGTCCAGTGTACTGCACAGTTATTAGGATTATGTCAAGAAGAAAATTGTATACTGTCCAGAAAGTATCGATATCGCGGATAGTTAGACTTGGAAAGGCAGTTCCATTCAATGTCGTCCACATATCAGCAGTAAAAGCTACTTTACCAGGAATTTTAGAATAATTTTTACATCCTTTTTTCCTGATAAAGTGGTGTAACGTGACTTCTTATAGTATGATGATTACTTTGAATAGAATTTAGAAATCATTCGTCGCCATTCTTCACTTTCTACGGTATTAAATGGTTCTAAAACACAAATTATCCATCTGAGAACAGCTCCTGATGTTTGTATTCGGTATGAAAATCATTACACTGCCTATTTACAAAACATATATAGATTAGACCAATTTTGAAACAAAAAAAGCATCTTCAATAATTATTGATTATTTGTCATCGTTCATGATTGAGAGTTATGAAAAAATTTTTTTTTTATGTTACCTATCAGTGAGTATTACTTATCGTTATAATAATAAATTTTTTTTTATTTTTTGGGTGGGTCAATAAAAAGTCAATAAGAATGGGTCTTTTTCATTCTTAAAACAAAATAAACACGCAAGGTTGTGATAACAATTTTTTTGTAAACTTTATATCCTATGATAACATTGAGATAAACGTTTCTAAATCTTCATAAAATAGTCAAACGAACTAAATTATATTTTAATATGTATATCTTGTGGCGAAAGATCTCAAGCTAATTGATAAATTAAAGATAAAGTTCTTTGTACGTAACGGTAATCTTGAGACTCGATTGATATGTTTGACTAAAATTACTAAAATTAGTAATTTGTTATAAATCAAGGATAGATTACATGTACGAAAATGGTATATAGAGCTAGAGATTAGAATTAAGCTTACGCGAATTTTACTTATTTCTTGAGTCTGATAAAAGTTCCTTAATGCAAATGAATGTTGAACAAATGAATGTTGAATCAAAATTCGATTAATTGAAAAAAAAAACAATTCATTTTTTATTCATTAATAACATTTTTTTTTCCATCATTGTTTATGATAGAGATATTTATTTAAAATTCTATTAGCACGTATTATCAACAGAATCAAATTTTCTTTTGACAAAGCAACGAATTAATAAAATATTAATTTGAAATGATAACACGTAGATTAATAAATTTAATAAATATTCTTTTGTGTTCTCTTTCCACATATTTTAAAAACTTCGTAATCGTCAATTGAAAATCCACCATTTTGACTTCTAATAGGCTTTTCATAATTCAATTTTTGACACCAACATAAAATATCATTACTATAATTTCTCATCATTCCTAAATCCCCACCTCCAAAATTAAAACCAAATGTTAAATTAGGATCATAAAATAATGCATGATCAGCATTTTGTATACGACTAAGAATTGGTTCGTCAACTTGATCAACTCGTTTCAAAGAAAAAATGAAACTATCATCAGATCTTGTCCATTTTTCAGGATCTCTATTCCATGTTGAAGGATTAAATCCACCAAGGATTTCATTCGTACCTTTAACTCTTAAAACTATTGCAGTACGAGATTGATTTTCACAATGATCGTAAAATGCTTCATCGTTAAAACCATCTTTACTACCTCTAAATATTAATTTAAACTTATAGGGATTATTTCTTATATCATAAGTTGTTAAACTGTGATCTATCCAAGAAGCTATTTGAGCAGCTTGTTCTCTAGTAATTATGGCAGAAAAAGAAGGATTAACAGGAAATGATGGTATACTTATGTTCACTTTAAAAGATGAAGCAGAAGAATTAACGGGGGATAAAATATCAGAAAATATAGAAGCATCGTCCTTTTCAAGAGTGGTAAGAGATGTAGAGATAGATTTTTCACAAGATGAAAGAGTTGGAATTAAATTTGTACGAGAAGTATCTAAAGTTTGTTTTAAAGAATTTTGTTCATTGTATTGTTGTATCATTTCAGACCAAATTTCTGGTTCAATAATTGCACGATATGGTTGTACTTTATAAAATATATCATCGCCAGTGATCTTGGAATATTGAATTAATGGTAAACAATTTTGTAAAGTAGCTCTTAAAGCTACAAATTCTTCATCTGACCAATTTGTAGGATTTGGAGTTAAGAAAATTTTACTATGTGCTATTCCCCATCTAATGATTAAATCCCAAATGTTTGATTCTTTAGTTTGTAAGTCATTTCGTTTAAGAAGTGACGTTAAAATATTTTCTTGAAGAGATATAAAATCATCAGCAACAAAGATTAGATCGGGATTGTTTACTATAATGTTATTACAAAATTGATTGAGTTTTTTAAGATTTCCTTGCCGATTACTTGTATCGTATGCTCGAACGAAATTCTGACGTAACCAATGCGGATCATTTTCTATGAGTTGAGATTCGAGATATTGAACTAATTCATCGAGACTTAATTCGTTGGCAGAAACCATGAGATCAAATATTGTTGAAGTTTCAAGGTTTTCTAATGAAACTGAACCACCGTATATATACCTAAAGAGAGATAGAATGACTTAATTGAAAGAAATTTAGAATATAAATATAAATAATAAATGGTAAAGAGAGACGAACTTTAGAATAATTTGAAATGCCCGGGCCGATATCTGATTTATTTTAATTTCTTTAATGTTATTTTTAGATTTTGTTGTTAAGTCCTTTAGACTTTTTCGAAAGTAAGGGCATCTTTGATATAGAATTGCGGAATGAGCTTTAAAAATGTGGCTATTAGGTTGTTCACCGATTTCAATAACGACGTTATAATCATATTCATTATCGAGAAGGTCGCTTATATCACGTGATAGCTGTTCGAAAAACTTTTTGTTGAAGTGGTATTTTGGAACAACTTTTGGAGTATTATAAATCTTTTTGGAAAAAAAGTTCATGGTTTTTTTTAAAAAAAATCACTTTACTATAAAAGACAGAGTTCGTAAACGAAAAAAAAAGGGAATCAGGAATAAAAAAGTAGAGTTAAAATATAAATACGCAAATTTGAAAATCCGTTGCTCAGAAAGTCACATTATGATCATTCCATTGTCTTCTAGATAATATAATAACAATAATAAGGTGAACCTCATACATTCTTGCATATATTTACTTTTATTGGCATTGTCATCGTCTTGCCGCATTAGCGGCCTAGCCCGCGTATACTATATTTGTATAAAGTACGTGGGTATTTGTTATTATGGCGTTAATTATCTATTATTTGCTATCTGAACTCCCACCATAAGACTCGAAATTTAGAAAAAATTGTTAAAAGTTCCGAACTTTACTATTGGTTTTTAGAAATGATCTACGAACCGCGATATTTTATACATGTAATGCGGTAATGCAAATGTACATTACATACGTACATGTACGTTACGTACGTCCATATGTACATGCGTATTTAAACATAAATTTTCTATTTTCACTAACAAGTCAATAAATATCAAATTTAGTAATTATGTTATCTGTGTCTAAAAAAAAAAAAATAAAAAAAAAAGAATAAAAAAAAAAAAAAAATTAATTATAACTTTTACGCAGCATTCATATGCTCATTGACCATTCTCGTATTTCCGACTTTGAAAATCGATTTTTAATATATGCATTAAGCTGCAAGAATGAATCACTTGGCTAATTCGGTGCCCTTTGATGATGGGTCGGTTACGAATGATGACTAACATATAAAACGTTTTTGTTGAGGGTTTCATGCGTAAAAATTTTTAACAATTTACGCAAGTTATTTAAATTTAAGGATTTGCGCGTCAGCCTTTTCTTCAATGATTTGTGGAAAAAAAAAAAAAGGATCAAACATAGATAAAAATTCGGACAATGACGTACGTTAAAATCATAAAAAAGATTAGATTGATGATAATAAAAGATTAGATTGATGATATAAAAGTAATGGGAGAATATTAGTTTTGATGAACGAATGCAGGGCGTTGTTTTTGACGATCGAATGCAGGAAATTTTTGACGAGCGAATGCAGGAAATTTTTTGACGAGCGAATGCAGGGTATTTTTTATCAACTGTTTCGAACCTTTTTTACAGCGTGAAATGTTTAGATTTTTGAAACACGAAAAAAAGCTGCGGGGGGAATGAAGATGAATGCGATAAATGGCTTGAATGCGCGTTATTATTTATTTTTAGTTACATGCATACCTTACCTTCACCTTCAATCTTTATTTTCTTTATTAATGTATACAATTTTTTTTCACTAGATTTTGTCGAAATGGGCAAATTTTAGTAGCGGATCGCGTGTGAGTGAAGAGTCCAAAAAAGAACCATCAAATGCACATTTCAATCCTTGGCTTTTTTTAGAGAACAGAGAATTTAATTTATGCTTATTAAGATCAAGCCACAAAATTTAACCATAACGATAATACGTTTGTACAGTACGTCTTAGCAACTTCATTTTGTAAACAGGAATTTATTTTTAGGTATACTAGAATGCACTTTATAAACGCATTCATTGATGTTTCATTCCGATGCATGCACTCGATAAACTCAATAAACTCAATAAACTGCAGTTTTATTATAATAATCACGAGTACACACAATTCTAAAGTTGTTTACATTACCATCGACAAGGCACCATATCACGACGTGATTTATATATTCAAAGCGCGTGACCTAAGAATAACGATAAACGCGAATGACGCGTTATTCTTGCATTGCCAAATTTTATTTCAATCACAATTTGAATAATGCATATATATTAACATTGCTTAAGTTGAATTAAACAAAACATGAAAGTTCTTGAGAATGTATTTTTTTTTAACAAAATTGAATTCCACTATCTACACGAAACTATTCACCTTTATATGTACAAATAATAAAATAATGCAACATATGGTTCTTTGGTGTTTTAGTAAACCCAATCCACCAAATTAATTAACAAGCTACATTTACTCAAACTTAAAAATTTTACAATGAAAATTCAATAATGGTTATTATTGACAGTTTTAATTAAAAAAAGATTTTTTTTTTTGTTTTTTTTTTTTTTTTTACTGTACATGTAAAACCAAAAAAACATTACTTGCTCATTACTTGCCGGTATAGTGTGATCATTACTCGATGATATAGTGTGATCATTACTTGCTAATATAATGTGATCATTGCTCGATGATATTATGTGATCATTTCTCGATGATATTATGTGATCATTGCTCGATGATCTTGTGATCATTAAATTACTTGCTGATATTATGTGATCATTACTTTATGTGATCATTATTTTTTTTGCTGATATAATGTGATTATAAATAAACCAATATCAAAAAAAAATGGTAATCAAAAATTAATCATCCGTTTGTAAAAAACGGATGCTGTAAGGCCTCGTCAATAGAGATTCGTCTCAACGGATCAAAAATCAATAATTTTCGTATTAAATCGATAGCTTCAGATGAATAATGTTTGAATCTACGTTCCGGAAATTCTATATTGGATACAGCTTGTTCAGATATTGGCTGATTTTCTTCAAAAGGATATCGACCTGCAAGACTATTTAAAGTTGATAAAACATTTGTTTAAAAAAATGATACTGTATATATTTTTTAAATAATTATAAATAATAAATCGGCACTCACCAAACGTATAGTGTCGCACCTAATGACCATAAATCAGCGCGTTTATAATTTAACCATGCCAATTTATCAGTTCTATGAAATTGACCAAGAACTTCCGGAGCTATAATAAGTTCAAACAAAAGAATAATATAAATATCTTTTTTTTTAAATACCTTTAGAATATAACATTCAAAAATTCCAATAGATAAACATACCAGCAAAAGCAGGTGTTCCAACGACCTGTAATCCAGAATGATAGCCAAATTCGGTAGATAAACCAAAATCACCGAGTTTTGCAAATCCATCTTGATATAACATTATATTTTCGGGCTACAGTTATAATTATAATTAAATTAGTATCTATATTTTAATGTTAATGTAATAGAATTATTATTAAAAAATATAATAATAAATTTACTTTAATATCCCGATGAACAAATCCAGAATCATGTAAACCTTTAACAGCTTCAAATATAGGCTTCATCAGTTCGCGAATACTATGTTCGCTTATCCTACGACGATAAATCAAATCGCTTAGGTCTTTACTTGCAAGAGGCATTATATAATATACTTTTTGTTTGGTTTCTACTAAATCTAAAAGTGGTACTAAATTGGGCTATAACAATAATGAAATTGAAATGACAATTAAGTTTAAATAATAATAATTAATTTAATAATAAATTTAACGATAAATTTAACGATAAATTTATTAAATAATAAATTTAATAATAAATTTAATAATATAATACTTACTAGGCCATCCGTTCGTAACATGATTTTACCTTCATGTATTATTTCCGAATTTCTCTTTTTTTGTTTCTTATCAGCAATCTGAAATCGGCCTATCGAACATATAAATTGCTTTTTCAAACATTTCACCGCAACGCGTGCATTATTTTGAAGGTCCACACCTATTAAATAATAAATACTTTAGTCACATTTTTACGAGAATTTTAAAACTTAATCTAGTTAACTATTGACAAATTAATAAATTACCCTTGAAAACCTTTCCATGATGCCCTTCACCAATGGTATCTTTTTTATCAATAAGATATCGACCATTCAAAAGTCTTTCAAACTTATTTCGTTTCGCAATCGTGCCAACAATATGTGAATTCTGCCTCCGTGCATTTTCTATCCTACTCTTGACAGAATCCATTTGATCATGAGTGGATGTTCGTGTTTCTTGGCTGCTCAGGCAATAATTACAGCCATCTTGCGGAATGTCTTTTTCTATTATGGAAGACTTTTTGGCAATGATTTTTTGTATAAACCTTGACACACGTAATCTTGCCGGTTGTTTTTTTGCTATGTTTGATGGTAAATTCGGTGCAGACTGTTGCTATATACCGTGTATACAAACGCATAAAATTTTAATAATAATAATAATAATAATAATAAAGTACATTAAAATGAATATGAACGTACCACTTTTGTAGTATCGGTTGAATGATTAACAGAAATTGTTTCGTCGGCATTACCATTCTCACATAACGTTTCGTCTATTATATCAGAGTCTTTTGAAAATTCCTATATTATCAAATAATATCGGTTTATTGGTTCTACATAAAAATTATTCTAGCCGCACAACCGCACAACCACACAACCGTAAAATACAGCAAACATATTTACATTTTTTAATTTGAGCTCATAATCAAATTTCTTTCCACGAACTAACTATAAAAAAAAAAAAAAAATTACGAGATAAAATAGAATCAGCAAGTAGAATAAAAAATAACATAATAGTATAATAACATAATAACATAATATTCTAACCTCCCGAAGACCTTCGAAGTCGTCTGTTATAGTTTGATTAAGTCTGTCATCAATCCGTTTAATTAACTTTATAAAACCAAATCACATGATTAGTTTTATCTCATATATATTTATAATATTTTATTTTATAATAATAAAAATACATACCTCCTTAACTCTTCGACTATTATCCTGGCAAAGGTCGGTATTTAAGTTTACAGACATAACATTATCAAATTCTTTCAACAAGTCATCTACCCATCGCTCCAAACTTTCATTATTTTTTATATACATCGCAGCACCTTTAGAAGTATCACAACACGTCGTGGATTTTTTTGCGGATGGCATACATATGGCTGAGTCAAGTCTCTGATCATTTTTTTTCAATGTTGAATGACAATTAGCTTCGCTATTTTTTTTGGTTTGAAAACTATTACTTCTTGTAATTTGATTATGTATCTTATGAGTAAACGTTGAACTGGGATATAAAGGTTCGTATGGTTGAAATGTGAAAACTGAAAAATTATCTACATTTTGATTGAATGATGCCATTTTTTTTTTTTTTTTTTCAAATTCTCTAATTAATAAAAAGTTTTGAGAATCATAAAAAATTTTGGATTTTGGGGGTTTTTTTTTCGAATTATATAAACGGGAAGTTTAATTTGTGGGGGTGTTTTTTCTTTGAGGTGTGAATTTTTCAATGAATTGTTCTTTTTTATTTTCGGTTGTATCAATTAAGAAATTATTATTTTTTTTCTTTTTTTTTTTTTTTTTTTTTTAAAGGTTATTATTGTACGGTTTTTATGTCGATAAATGGAATTAAGAATACTACTTCAATAAGCACGCATATTTTGATTACACTATCGTAATAAGTCGTTCTTTGGTAAATTATTGTTATCAACGA